CCTATGCCTGTCTTTACTTTAATCTCTTAATCCCGTCATCTTCTTCATAAACTGAGGAGGATGAATGTCGCCTCAGCACCCTGTGATGATTGTGTCAACTGCACAAATTGCTTGTAGAGCATGTGTGTTTGAACAATATGAAATCTGGGCATCTTGAAAAAAGAACAGGATAACAGCGATGTTCAGGGAACAGGGAAGGTAACTTTGAACTGGCCGCCGGTGAGCCAGACGGAACAGAGCCATATTTCTCCTCTTTCAAAAGCAAGTAGGAGAAATATCGCTGAATTCTTTTTCTCAGCAAGGAACATCCCTAAGAAAGAGAATGCGCCCTGAGGGTAGGCCTATAAACTGCCCCCTTAGAAGCATCTTTTAAGGTCGAAGCCGAAGGGATGAAATAAGCCCCTCTCCTGTAGTGCTCCCAGGCTTATTGGGAGGAAGAAAATTCCCACCTAATAAATTGTGGTCAGACAGGTCGTCTGCTCTCAAACCCTTTTCCTGATAAGATGTTATCAATGACAATGCGTGCCGGAAACTTCATTAGCAATTTTAATTTCGCCCCATCCGGTGGTCCTAAGATTTCGCCCTACCTCCATTTGCCTTGTGATATTTTATTACCTTGTGAAGTATGTGATCTCTGTGACCCACACCCTATTCGTGCACTCCCTCCCCTTTTGAAAATCGCTAATAAGGCCGGGCACGGTGGCTCAAGCCTGTAATCCCAGCACTTTGGGAGGCCGAGACGGGTGGATTACAAGGTCAGGAGATCGAGACCATCCTGGCTAACCCAGTGAAACCCCGTCTCTACTAAAAATACAAAAAACTAGCCGGGCGAAGTGGCGGGCGCCTGTAGTCCCAGCTACTCGGGAGGCTGAGGCAGGAGAATGGCGGGAACCCGGGAGGCGGAGCTTGCAGTGAGCTGAGATCCGGCCACTGCACTCCAGCCCGGGTGACAGAGCGAGACTCCGTCTCAAAAAAAAAAAAAAAAAAAAAGAAAATCGCTAATAAAAACTTGCTGGTTTTACCACTCGGGGAACATCACGGATCCTGCCGACATGTGATGTCTCCCCCGGAAACCCAGCTTTAAATTTCTCTCTCTTGTGCTCTTTCCCTTTATTTCTCAAACCAGCCGAGACACTTAGGAAATAGAAAAGAACTCACATAACCAGCGGGAGCAGGTTCTCCTGATACAACATGATTCTCAGAACAAATTTCCCCCAAAAGCAAGAGTTGTATGGATTTCCTCCCAAGAAAAAATAAATGAATTATTGGGAAGATAATGTTGGGCTAAAGGTCAGTTTGAAGAAAGGCAGTTAAGAGAATAAAAAATAATGACGTTAATGAGAAGGAAAGATTAAAGCCAAAAGTCTGAAAAGAAATGATCAATTAAAAGATGCAAGTCCTTGGGTGGGTGGCACCATAGACCATCTGCAATAGTGCAGCCAAGTACAGTGTCATCTTTTATTGCTATTTAAAGACCTACAGGTTGGGATATCAATCTTGGTGGACCATCACTCCTTGAACTAAATGTTGGGCTTAGACTTACCAATGGATGGGGCACTCCACTTAGGAGAGAAGAAATCCACCTGACATCCACCAGGCAGCCACTATTATTGGTTGTAGACATGCATCAGACCTGGTGCATTTCTGAAAGACTGAGAAAACAAGATGTGATGCAAATCTTCTGAAATGCAGTCCCATGGGCAAAAGAAAGAGCCAGAAGCTTGTTAAGAAACACATTACCATCTGGAAAGAAGTACCAGACATGTATCTGTGAGAAATTGGTGTCTTCTGGGAAACACTGAGGTGCCAGCAGCTGACAGGGAAAGATAAAATGATGATCACTGAATTCTTGCCTGCCAACTTGGGAGATCTTCTTGATGAAGAAAGATAAGAGGTAAAAATGTCAGGCACGCAGGCCTTCACTTTCTTCGAAGTGAGAAGCTTGTAAAATAACCCTGAGTACAAGTGAGTTTTTTCCATGCTTATTTCACAAAAAGTATGTAAAATTCTATACAAGGAGGAATATACAATTTGCCTAAAGTCTGAGATCTTGATTGTGTCTGCCTCATACATTCTTCGCTAAATATTAATTGCTTCCAAACGTCTGGACATTTCGTATCTGTAGATAACCGTCTTTTTCAAAAAGAAATAAAAAACAGAAAACCTTCCTTTCTCTAAGGGAAGAGGAAAAATATTATTGCTACAACTTTTAACAAATACATCGATATTTCATCCATTCTAAGATGCACATTTTCACAATTTTACATCTCTGAAATTGGGTGCATCTTATAATTGGAAGACTTTTTTTGTGACACATGAAAGAAGAGTACATCTATAGTACCTTAATTGAATGAAATGTGAGCAACTGCTTAAAATAGTGTTGCTAGACAAAGTGTTTAAAGTTTAAAGAAACCCACCGTCCTGAAGAGCTTAAGTACTCTTCAGGAATACAACAGGAATTAGGTATCCAGCTTCTGGAATTCTTAGGGGACACTAAGAACTGCTTCAGTCATGTGAATCTATCACTTTGAGATATCATATGTTTCTCCTTCAGTCTCTTAAAGTAGTAAAACATATTTATAGAGATTTCATTCGAACAGGAAGCCATATTTGTATTCCTGGAATAAACCCAACTTAATCGTGATGTATGGATGGTTTCACAGATGACTAGATTCAGTTTTTTCTAATAGTTTATGTAGAAATGTTGAATTTCACAATAGAGATGTGTCTATAATTTTTTATAATTATATACATTTCTATAAATTCTATACATTTCTATAAATTTGGAATTGCCTAATCACTAGATTTTGCTGAAACATTTGTTCTGCTCTCTGGTTTTACTGCTTTGCTTTGTTTTGTTTTGTTTGGAGGGGGAGAGAAAGAGTTTAACTACCAATTCACTGTCTTTCATAGTTCTAGGACGCTTTAGGTTATCCATTTCTTCTCAAGTCACTTTTGGTTATATATATATGTTCACATATATTCCTATGTTTTATGCACACACACAAACACACACACACACACGAATTTGCATGCTCCACCTGAGTTTTAAAAATCTATTGTCATAATAGGCCTGACGTGGTGGTTGATACCTGTAATCCTAGCACTTTGGGAAGCTGAGGCAGGAAATCGCTTGATCCCAGGAATTTGAGATCAGCCTGGACAACATAGTGAAAACCTATCTCTACAAAAAATAAAATAATTAGCTGGGCATGGTGGTTTGGGTCTGTAGTCCCAGCTAATTGGGAGGCTGAGGCAGGAGATTCGCTTAAGCCCAAGGGGTCCAGGCTGCAGTGAGCCATGCTCACATCACTGCACTCCAGACTGGGCAACAGAGCTAGACCCTGTCTCCAAAAAAAAAATTATTGCCATAATATGTCTAACATTCTTTCATTATACTTTTTATCTCTACCGCAACTGTAGTTATGCCCGTCTAATTCTGAACCATACTTTTTTTTCTATTTTTTTCTTTAAAAATATTGTTAGATAGTTTTCAAAACATTTTTATCTTTGTTGATCTACTTTAGGGTATCTTTGTCTTCTGTATTATTGCTTTCTGCTCTTATTAATATTAATTCTTTTTTTTTTTTGAGGTGGAGTTTCACTCTTATTGCCCAGGCTGGAGCGCAACGGCCCAATCTCAGCCCACTGAAACCTTCACCTCACCTCCTGGGTTCAAGCAACTCTCTTGCCTCAGCCTCCCAAGAAGCTGGGATTAACAGGCCTCATCCACCATGCCAGGCTAAGTTTGGATTTTTGGACAGGGTTTTACCATGTGGGGCAGGTTGGTCTCGAAACCCTGACCTCAAGTGATCCACCCATCTCAGCCTCCCAAAGTGATGGGATTGCGGGCGTGAGCCACCGCACCTGGCCAGTTCTTAATTAAAATTCCTACGTGTTTATTCTGTTATTCTTTTCTTAACTTCTTACATTTAATTAAAATGGATTCTCAGCTTATTAATCCTCAGCTCCTTGTCTTTTACAACCTATTTGAAGCTATAAAATTTCTCCTAAGTACAGAGTTGGTTATATTTCATGTCTTAATATAGATCATTTTCATAATTATGCACGTCTGATTGTTTTTTAATATCCTTACTCATTTATTCTCTGATTCGTGAGCTATCGAAAGGTGCATTTTTCAAATGTCCAAATGTATGGAGTGATTTTAATTATCTTTTTAATACTAATTTCTAGTGTAGGTGTGTTGCGGTAAGAGAGCACATTCTGTGAGGAACTATTTTTTGAAATGTGTCAAGACTTACTTCATGGTCTAGGATATAATCAATATTCACAAATGTTTTATTTGCAGTTGAAAAGAATGTGGATTATCCAGTTGTTTGGTCCAGGGTTATAATATGTGGCCAAAGGTGTTGCTCAAATATCTTTATCCTGACTGATTTTCTGTGCTTGACCATCAGCTACCAAAAAAAGTCTAGGAAACAGTCCTCGCTGCCCTACTGTGGATGCATCCACCTCCCCTTAGGTTCTCAGCCCATTCTTGGACCACGGAATGGAAAGCTCTTGGCCTACAGGGATCAGTAGCTACATCTGGGGGTTTCCGGCCTCCCTTCCTTGAGAGGCTTCCCTACCTGTTACACATAGAAAATGAAAACATACCACCAAAAACAAAATAAGCAAAAACCAGAAAGCAACGTTTTAGAAAGATTCCAGTGGCTCTGATGTTGCTGCTACCTGACAGCACGGATTAGCTGGCCTCATGAGAGATGATAAGGAATGGAGATTTTCTAAGTAAAGGGCTCAGAATTCAGATCAGAGTCAGAATAACAAATGAGCTTTTCAAAAGGCAGCTGCCCAAACCAAACAAGGAATTTTTCACTTGTTTACAAAGTGTGGAAAGAAATATGGGCCTCCCATTGGTCTTTCCACAAGACAGTCACACACACATCATCTCCTGATTATCACCATCATTAGTATAATTTATAAAAATTGAAAAGACTGGAAATAAAATTGATCCTGGAGAAAGAAAAACCAGAATTCACTTTAAATGCAAAGGAGCAACAAAATTTATTGACTGAAATTAAACACAACAGTTAAAATGGCAGTGTGGTAGTTTCATTTTCAGATGTTTGAATGGAACAAGAAAAGTGCTATTAGTCCAAGCTTCTTACATTCATTAAAAGAGTGACTATCAAAAACAGCAACATGCACAATGGTACATATGCACAAAATGGAATTATATCAACAAATATACAAAATACCCAAAATAAAATATTTACAGGTTTAAAAATATAAACATTGATTCCTCTATCCCATTAAACCATTGGAGTGGAGAAAGGAGAAAAGACCCTATTGCTATTTAGAATCCCTTTTTAAAACAAGTTTTTAAAACATAGAATTAGTTCTAGGAGACAATTTTTGATGTTTTTCAGGGGTTTCACATTCTATTATAAAAATAATATCTATAAACCTACGAACAATTTTCCTCCTGTGCACAAAAATAATACCGCCAACAGTTTGTCCTCAAAGACATGCCTGACTTTCAGGAAAACTAATTCTAGAAATGGAGTTTCTCGTTTGGGTTTTCTTTGTTACTATTTTCAAATAACCTGCAATTCCCTATATTACACTGAGATACTTTATATAAATAACATGGGCAAAACCTGAAGTTCACAATGAGCCTGCTAGGTAGCTAGTGTCAAGTACAAATGATAGGAATCTACTTTGCCTACAACATCCAAAGCATTTTCCCTGATATTCCTGTAGACCTACGACTATCAGATCCTCCATATTCAGTAAGATTTATCCTGGAAGCAGTGAAAATGTTAAATATTACTTTGCTAGCGTTTCTCCTCCTTTATTTAGAAATAAATGTGTAGTAGGGACCAATGGTTGTAATGTAGATATTTGAGAAGGTTCATTGATTCCTTCAGGCCACCTGGAGCCATTTCAAGGCAAGTGAACAAGTATTTTCTGCATGTCTACTCCATGCCCCTATGCTATTGAACCAGATATTTTTAGTATTTCTGCTTTATTTTGTTAAGTGATTCAGGTCTGAGAGTATCTGAGAAACTATAATATGTCTCAAGTAACCAGAAACCTAAGCCATATCTTATTTAAAACGTATCTTCTCCCATAGAGCAGAAAGTTATTCTACTCGATTATTGAAGAATTTCCAAAATTACCCCATTTTACCAATACCTACCTTACATGGTTCTTGTGAACAGTAAAGATAACAATGTAAAAAAAAAAAGCACACAGTATCCTGCCTGGCACCATAGTAAACATAGAGGATATGTGAATAGAATTCAATATAAAATACTCGTCTTCATGGTGACTGACTTATTGAAGGTGTTCAATAGCTATTAGTTGAATGAGTTAATGAATCAGAAAATGTAGGACAGGATTCTGTGGCTGTGGACACAACATAGGATGGACGGCTTTTAAAGGAGCCAGGTGCTTATTTCTGAAGTTCAGAATTGCATCAAGGCAAGGGACAACTTAAACAGCTGTCATTGAAACAAACACAGATAACCAGTTGGCAAAGATGTGGAGAAATTGGAATCCTTGTGCACCGTTGCTAAGTATGTAAACAGATGAAACCACTGTGGAAAGCAGCACAGAAGTTCTTCCAGAAATTAAAAATAATTCTATTTTTAATTAGAATTACCATATGAATGACCCAGTAATTCCACCTCTGGGTATTTATTCAAAAAAACTGAAATCAGGATCTTAAAGAGAGATATTTTCACTCCCTTGCTCACTGAAGCATCACTCACAATAGCCAAGATGTGAAAATAATGTAAGTGTCTGTCAGTGGATGAATGGGTTTTTAAAAATGCGGCATATACATATAAGGAAATATTATTCAGCCTGAAAAAAGAAGGAAATCCTGCCATATGCAACAACATGGGTAAACTTGGGGGATAAGCCAGTCACGGAAGGACAAATACTGCGCGTTCCCACTTCTATAAGGGATCTAAAATAGCCAAACTCATAGAAGCAGAGAGTAGAATGATGGTTGCCAGGGGCTGATGGGGGAGGAAACGAGGGGCTGCTGTTCAATGGGCATAGAGTTTCAGTTACGCAGGATGCACAGGTTAGAGAGATTTGCTGTACAACACTGTGGCTATAGTTAACAATACTCTATTGTGTACTTAAAAATTAAAGAAGGTAGGCTGGGTGCAGTGGCTCATGCCTGTAATCCCCACACTTTGGAGGTGGAGGCGGGCAGATCACTTGAGGTCAGGAGTTTGAGACCAGCCTGGCCAACATGGTGAAACCCTGTCTCTACTAAAAATACAAAAACTAACAGGCGTGGTGGTGCACGCCTGTAGTCTCAGCTACTTGGGAGGCTGAGGCAGGAGAATCGCTTGAACCTGGGAGGTGGAGGTTACAATGAGCTGAGATCACGCCACTGCACTCCAGCCTGGGCAACAGAATGAGACTCCATCTCAAAAAAAAAAAAAAGAGGGTAGATCTCATATTCAATATTCTTACTTCAATTAAAACACACACACATATGCATAGACCACCCAGAACCCATCAAGACTGGGTTTAAGGTAGGAATAAAAACAAATGAAACAAACATGCTTGGAATGAATGATACCCTATCAGGGAAGAAGTATCGCCATGACAACAGAAGAGATTTCTGTTAATCCTAAGAGAAGAGGATCCGTCCAAGGGAAGGCCAATGTTTGCCTACTCAGCGTAGCACAGTGGCAGGGTTCCCTGTATATGATTGTGAGCACCGTCATCTCAGACACAAAACTAATTTGCAGCTGCATGGACCTGGGTTAGCTCTTTCTATTACAAGCGAGCTGACAATGACACTAAGCAGTACTTAGCTCTTCTATTACTGCAAATCACTAAAGAGTTTATATCCCTGTCTTAGAGACTAGGGGAAAAGAGAGAGAGAGAGAGAGACAGAGATGGAAAGGGATAGAAACAAAAGGGATGAATTAAAGCTGTCATACTGGAGAGATAATATTACCTACCCCATATGGCTGTTAAGAGGACTAAGTAATTATTTCTAAATCTCCTAGCAGCGCCTGACATATCGTAAGTATTCAACTAACGTTAACCATTGTTATATTTACTATTTTTTAGAGGCATTCGTGTGGCTTAATTCATAGTGCCCTTCCTCGACCTCACACCACTCTGCTTCACCCCACAAACTATAAGCAACAAATGCAAATACCAAAAAAAGTAAAATAAAATTGTTTTGTGTTTTTAATGTATATTAAGAAAATCCAATTACAGCACAGCTTAGGTGTGAGCTCCAAACTGAAGGGGTTTTATTAAGTATTCGATACAGTAGATGCCCCATAAATGTGTGTTGCATTGAATTAAAGTAAATATCAATGATGAAAGGTGCCCAATCTCAGTTCTGGAGGCTTCGTGACTATTTTCATCTTTCCTTTGGTAGTTTGAGGAGGAACTCCTTTCCGTAATCATGAAACTATCATTCTGAATCACCTCTTAAAAACATCATCTGCAGTGACATAAAAACATTCCTTAGAAGTGCTATTGTTGCAACAATCTGTCTCCTTTAAACCCTTATCACAGTGCAAGGCTTTTGAGAAGCAATGAATGCATGACAGCCACCAGGAAATCTTCAGAGCAAGATGAGGTCTCACAATGGATGGCCGCCTGTGAGGAGCCACACTTACACACTGCACTGACAGTGTTACAGCTTGCTTCTGCCTGTGAACTACACCCTTGCCTTTTGCTTCCCCACACAGGCTCTATAAGACACCCGTCTACCATACTACCCCCCTTGGTCCCAAACTGTTTCATAAATATTTTTGTGTGTTATGAATTGACATTTTCTAAGGCTGAGTTTACACAAATAAGAACTGTTCCTTTCCTTGCTCTGCCCGGAGGCGGGGAAAGGGAAACTGGGTTAGGTGAGGTATTTGGGTTTTTTCTCTTATTTGACTCAGATACTTTAAACTAGCTTTCCTCAGTGATGAGACGAGGCGATTGTGATGCTTTTTCCTTATGTTTAACAGCAAAAAACTTCTTGAATTAATATCTTAACAATGAGAAGGGGAGCAAAGCATATGTGAATGGACTGGAACAGGTCTCAGTAGAAGCCAAGCGTCAGGGGAGCCAAATCCATGTATTTGTAATTCAGGAGAGAAATCTAGATGACTAACAGCAGGGAATGCATTCTGCCATGCGAACACAGCAAATATGCTAGCGTCATGTGAAGTGTCCCGTCACTGCTGTCTGAGGGCATTTAGGAGACACGAGCTGCCTGAGTGGATCTCTTCACACCAAGCTAACAGTCAGGAGTCGCCTTTAAAATTAATCTGACAAAGGTGTAAATAATGAAAACTCTTAGAAAATTCAAAGAAATCTCAACACCTGACATAGTCTTTTTACCTGGATAATTGTGTAAGCAAAGGGCTATTTGCATACGGTTTAATTGCAAATACTTGACGATTACCTCTGAGATGAAGAAATAAATCCTTTAAACACAGTGAGTTATTACCTTTATAGATATTAAACCCTTTGTATTTAAATAAGCAGTTAATTTGTGGAAAATGTATCTAAAGGAAGTCCTTTGTATTCTATATTCTATTGTTGTTATTAGATAAAATAATAAAAATCTATTTCCTCTTGTGATTATTTAAAATGTTGCAGTAAAATTTCTCCCAGTTGGTGCTAATGGCAGGCTAAAAGCATCAACCACCATCTGTACTAAAGCAGAGTGTTTCAAATAACAGTGTATGTGTAATATAGACATTAAAGTCAGGCTATCTTTGTGCAGAGCTATTAAGCCAACTGATAAATTTTCGTCCAACAATTGGTTGGACTTTTTCCTGTCTAATTTGGGCAGCTTTTCAACCAAAGGAAGTCAATCAACCAAGTACCTTAGAATATACATACATGGGAAAGATACAATTAGCCTCTATCCAATCCTTCCCTTAAAAAGTCAGCAAATATGGGCCTGAATAATCTTCACAAGGTCATTAGATATAATGCATTAATAAAAATTGGAACATAAATCTAGGAAAATTCTTGAAAAAACAATCTCCGTGAACACAAATGAGAGAAAGTAGCCCTTGGCACAAGAAAGCAACTATGATCCCTTTTCCATGGTTGGAAAAAGTTGAGAATCTACTCTTCCTGCCACTCCAGGGATTTCCCATCAAGTGATTGAGGCTGTTTAATTCATTGCCCAAGTCCTTTATTTGATTGGTGTGGGTGTAATTCTTAAAAATATAAGGTAAAAAAAAAGGTGGAAAATATAAATTTAAAAAGAAAATATTTTATACCTTTTATAACTGGTTAATTGACAGGCCAGTGGAAATTAAGATAAACTTTGCTCACGTGTTCCTTTTCTTATAAAGAGGAGACACAGCATAATGATGTAAATGGAGGAATAAGTCCGAAAATCAGGAAAGCAAAAACTTCTCTTCTACTGCTTAAGAAATAGATTGCCTTTACTATTACAATATTCTCATAAGTTTTTCAGGTATTCTTAACTTTCCTGTACAAATGAACAAATGAACGAACATAACTTTGCCATGGATTCATGCAAAGGAGAATATAACCCTTGCAGGAAAAGGTACCACAAGGAAATCAAGATCCTTTGTTTTACAGCTAGGAATAAAATTTATATTTTCTCCATTCACTAGGGGAAGATGAATATATTTTGAGTCTAAATAGTACTATCGGCATGAAATCAAATTTAAATCCCTTGTTTAATACAGAAATAATTTCAAAAATAATTTTCAAATCTAGAGTAGATGTCTTTTGTCTGTTAGTCTGTACACAGTTGTGTGCATGAGCACGTGAGTGTGAGATGCTTACATGAATTCCTGGTAGTGTGTTCAGAATGCTTAAGGCTATGACTGCATATAGGGCCTCAGCTACACACATAAAGAAATTAAATATTAAAAGATTACTTTGAAAAAGCATTATGGATCTGAGACAACGCAATAAAAGCCAGTCATATGACTAATGAAGAAATTCAGCAAACCTCTCCTAATTGAATCACTACAAATTTAAAATGGGGAATGGCCTACTTTCTGCTACTGGCTCAAATTTGCTTTCCTTTGATGCCCATTTATTTTGTTACTTTCTTCATATTATTAAAATAGGTTTTCATATATTTAACTTGCCTTATTCTTTCATTTACGAAACAGAAAACAAACTGAAAAAGCATGTAATAACAGTTCATTACTAATGCAATCTCTCTGGAAATGAGACTTACACAGAAGTGTTCATGTCATTTACATATGTGTAGTTTCACTTGAATATGCATAATCTTCCTGCTATGATGAATCACCTCCTAGTAGCAGCTCTGGTCTTTTGATTAAATACACTGAAGTGTATTTAAAAAAGGATATTAATTTCATCATTAGACACTAATAGCATTCTAGGAACTGCTTCAGTTTATCATTGAAACTAAGCATATAATAACCCTTTCTGAAATTAATGTTTCATCTGAAATATTAGAAAACATACATAGAAGCAAACAACTTTTCAAAAAAAAATCTTGGCATGAAGGGTTTACAATACATAAGCTTGCCAATGTCATATTCTGCACACACTTGTCTTCATCATAAGTCCATAAAGCAAAAGGCAAATGACGTGAAAAACTATATCTTTCTATTGTTTTTCTTTATGTGTTCCTCATTTTGCACTCACCATATTGAGGAATGGTTGGATCCAAAATTTTATAATCAAGGTTAAAAAAAATATCTGAAAAGAGGCATTGGGGTGAGAAACAGACTCTTACCCAAAACAAGGCAGAGCCATTCCTCTGGGACACCAGCACAATAGATTTGTTGTTGTTGCTGTTTTGAGAACCAGAGGACCCATATAAAACAAAACCAGAATCTCTTCCCATTACAGTACATAACAGAACGTCAATGGTTTGGGGACCGTCATCACGTCTAGCTGTAAGACCGGATTTTATATTCTAGATTATTGACGATTACAAAATGTTAACAGCTGGATAAACTGTAAAATATGCATTATCTTCACATGAGAAGGTTTCAGCTTATAAATGCTTAAATACTGTATCTATTGGCATTTAGTAAAATCTTTCCCTGATCCTGATTTCTGCACTGGGTGGGGGAAGAAACAAACAAAAGCAAAAGCCTGCTCTCCTGAGCCTTTTATATCTCCCCAAACAAATTACTGAAATCAACCAAACCAAAACTCGCCTTTATTTTCCTAGAGTTAGATACTTATCAATTTGCATATCTAGCAACTGAAGTAGGGAAGTTTTCTGCCAATCAATGGTCCCCTCTGCTCATCAGGTAAATACCTGGCTCTTTCAGCTTTGGAGGTGTTTTCCACACAGTGATACAGCAAAGCCTCTTTCTTTTTTTTTCTTTTCTTTTCTTTTTTTTTCCTGGAAAGGAAAGAGGAAATAAGGGAAGGAAGGAAATCTGTCTTGGAAGAGGAGATCTCCTCTGGTTCTTCAGTGGTTCCTTCAGGCCTCCGGACACTGCATCACCCCAATATCCAGGCATGACTCTTATTTAGGTTTGGCTAAGTCCTGTTTTCTGCAAAGGCAAGTAAAGGTGACTTCCAAGTGTTCACTATATTAAAGAAAAAAAGAAGAAAAACTTAAAGGTAAAAAAGAAAAAAGTGCTTGAAAATAATTCTCAGGGACTTATCTTGAGAGGAGAATCCCAAGTGTAGCATCCCTCTTTCTGGTGTTATCCTGTCCCTGCTCAGGGCACAGAAACCTCCTCGGTCCATGCTCTGGAGCAGGCGGGGACGGGTGGTGTCCTAAAACACTTTCTTTAGGAAAAGCAAAACTAACTGCAGTGGTTTCCAGGGAAAAGTTGTATTCCTTGACATGTGGCCCATCCACTTTGGCCTGGAAGACCTCACAACTTTTTGGCACTGTCGTGGCAGGCCGTTGCCCTGATGGTGGTCCCAGCCAAGCCCCGGTTGCTGACTCTGCGGACCAGCACTTTGGAAACCGGGATTTTTGTTCTGGGCATCTCACTCCTGGAGGGTTGCTGGTGCACCACGGGATGGCTAGATGGAAGGTTGGTCAGGTGCTTGATGCTAATAGGGATCTTAGAGTCCTTCAACAAGCTGCCTGGTGTTCGCAGTGGACAAGTGATGGTGCCTGGAGATACGGGCTTTAACCGGGACAGGCAGGACGTCTCCTCGTTGTCCTTCCCCCCAGGAAGGGTTGCTGGGCTTCCGTCCGGGTCAGCATAGAGATCGTAGAGCGCGTCCCCGCTGTAGCTATCCCGGGGGATGCCCGCCTTCTTGCCGCTGTTCGAGCTGTCTTCCTCTGGGCCTGGCGTGGTGGAGTCCCAGTAGCCCTCGTCGCTGTTGGGGACGCCTTCCTGCTGCTCCTTCTCCGGGTGCTTGGGCTCCTCCTTCGGATGGGGCTCGATGGGAATCCGGTTGAGCCTCCTGCGCTTGACCGAGGACGCGTCCTTGGCCGCTTCCACGCACCTGCTGTCTTTGGGGGTTTCGGGCGCCACCTTGGTTTCCAGCGCCGCTGCCGCCTTAGCCGCGCCCTCCTGGGGCCCGGGGCCCTGCTCCTCGGTCTGGGACAGCATGTCCCAGAACTCCTGCAGGTAGGTGTCGTCCACCTCGTCCGGGCTGGCCATCTCTTCCCCGCCTCCCTGGTAGGCCACCACGCCGGGGTTCTTTTTAGAGAGAGCCGGCTTGCCTGGCCCGGGGGCATGCTTGTCACAGCTGGGACCTGCCTCCTCCTCTGGGTCTGCAATAATATCTCCACAGCCTGTAAGAGAGTCAAAGCTTTTCAGTGAAGTCACGTCAGAAAACATCAAACAAATACGATCTGCCGACGGGTCTGAGGGTGGATCGACAGAGGCAGGGTCCGGGGCGGAGGGCGCCCGGCCGCTGCCGCCTTCGGAGTCGACAAGGGGGACCGTCTTGACCGGAACGGCCCCCGTCCTGGACGCGTCCTCGGCCGTGCGGACCTCCCCGGGCCCCGGCTCGGGGGGTCCCCGGGGCTTCTCGGCGCGCCGATGCCCCGCGGCGTCCTCTCCCCGCGCGCCGGGGTCGGGGCCCTCGGCCTCTCGGCAGCTCCGCGCTGGGGCGCGGTCGGCGGGGGCGGGCACCTCCTCTCCCCCTGCGGGCTCACCTGCTGGGTCTCGCGGGGCGTCCCGGCCGGGCTCCTCCGGCTCGCGCGCGGCTCTGGGCGTCTCCTCCTTGACGCACTCCAGGCTGGCGGTGAGCGAGCCGGGCAGGATCAGGCCGCCCCCGGCCGCGCGCCCCTCCGCGGCCTCCGCCTTGGCCCGCTTGTCTTTCCGGTGCCAGCGCACGCCGCTCAGCAGCCCCCGCAGCCCCCGCTTTTGTTTGCCGCCGGCCTTGCTCGCGTCTGCGGGCTCCCCCTTGCCGTTTTCCGAGCGCCCGTTCTTCTTCAGCAGCGAGAAGAAGCTGTGCGACTTGGCCACCGAGCTGCTGGCGAGGGAGCCCCCGCCGGGCCCCGCGGCTCTGGGGGGCCCCGGGTTCGGCCGCCCCCCGCCGCCCCCGCCGCCGTCGCCCCCGCCGCGCGGCTCCTCCTTCCTGCCGCTCTCCAGCACCAGCACCTCGGCCAGTCCGTCGTGGGTCCTGCTCCGCACCAGCCCCGTCGGACCCGAGCTTTTCCCGTCCCCTTTGTTTTTGACCCCAAAAATGCTGGGCATGGTGCCACCCGATTTCCTTTTCTTGAACAATTTGAAGGCAGCCTTATTAATCTTCCCCGACGGCGGCTCGGCGGCCGGCGTCTCGGCGGCACAGTCACAATGCAAGTCCATGTCTGCCGCGAGGGTCCCGGCCCCGGCCTCCGCCTTCCTCCTGCAGACCCCCGCGGACGCGCCAGCTCCGCCGCGCTCGCTGACAGCCCCGCCGCCGCCGCGGCCCCGGCTCGTCTCCATGGAAACCGCGCGGGCTAAGCCGCTGTCGTCAGCAGTGGGCTCGCGCCAGGCCACTGTCACCCGTGTTCTAAATCAACCTGAGCCGCGCTCGCCGCCGCCGCTGCAAAAGAAACACACATAAAAGACCATCTTCCCTCCCGCAAGGGCTTATGTAATCCCCTAACCCACTTCCATCCGACTTGGCGCGGCGCTGCATGGCGTTTGTGCGGCAAGAGCAGGCGACACCGCCGCGAGCTGATTGCAGAAATTCGAGTCGTAATGATGGAATTCAGATTCCCTCAACTCTCACCCACCTTCCGAATCCTTCTCCAGACTCGCTCTTCGCGGGAGCGCAACCGTGGATCACGAAATGCCTCTGAAAACGACAACGCAATTCAACCCAGCACAAAATGCTTGCTTTTCTTATCCTCTCTCTCCCGGACTCCATGCCTCTTCACGCCTTTCCCAAGCCCTTCATGTCTGTCCTTAGCATCAGTGCACTAAGCGCAGCAGGCAGGAAGCACGTCTGCCTACATCCATGTCTTGTCCAGAGCTAAGCACACGCTAGGTCCACGCTGTGTGGCTGTCGTTATGGTTATGGTTCTTGTGACAGAAGTACACGGCACCACTCAGTCAGTGGATCAGCAACCCGGCAATGCACGCACAACAGCTCCCCGGGGTGGAGTTTGCCTGCACCTTTGGGACAACCATGAGTCTTATCCTAGACTCCAGCCACCATGGGATGAAGTCACAGACGCCGGGGCCCAGCCCACATTTGATAACAATAGACAAGCAGACCGAGAACACAGGCTGGGCATCTCAGACCCACTCCACAGGTGGGCCTTCGAGTCTGGGTTCTGCCCTCTCCTTTCCCACTCAGCAGGACGCTGGCATTATTCCTGTCACTGCTGTACCACTCCCCTCCCCCATACCACCAGCGCTGACTTGTAGCCCCCTTCCCCAATAGACAGAGCAGAAAAAGCTTGGCAGGGGTCCCTGTGTGTCCAGGGGTCTCTGCAGACATTCCTACCTGCCTGGTCCGGGGAGAGGGAAAACCTTTTTTCTGGGAACAGCCCAGTCTAGGGATCTCTTCTGTGTTCTGATTTAAAAAGTGACTGCTAATATTCTAATCGTGACATCTGATTTCATAATCCCAGATGAGTGCTTTTTAGCAAAAAGAAGAAATTTGGAGCGGCATATACATATATTAATATAATGTATACAATAACATGTATATATAATATACATGTTATTGTATACATTATATTAAATATGTATATACATATGTATATATTATATTATATATGTATACATGTATATATGTATGTATATATATTGTATATTATATTATTATATACATTATATTAATATAATATATAATTATATATAATATATAAGCATATACATATATTAATATAACATATATTACTATATTATTAATTAATTAATATATATTAATAGAACATATATTAATATAAGCATATACATGTATTAATATATTAACATAATTAATATAACTGTATTAATATAATATAGTATATATAGTATGTTATTTAATCATTTGATTATTTATTAGATATCATTTAAGAATATATGTAATAATTACATATATATACAAATACCAGTCTCTTCCCTACTCATTTTTTATGTGCTGTTTGCATCATGCCAAGAAATCCCAATCCCCATCCACATAAGTTGGCGTTTTATTAATGACGTATGTTGGCCATTGCAGCTTCTGTTGTTATGAGATACAGCTGGTTTACATTTAGACCTTGGAGTTATTAGTTGTATTATTTCCTTTTTTGTTTATTTTTATCAAGAACACTGTTTTGTAAAACAAAGAAATCAATGAGTTCAGGTTCACAAGAGGTTGTTACTTCCGGACTCTAATCCCATCAACTCTCTCTCACTATTAATGAGCGTCTCTCCTGGAACAGGAAGTAAGGTGAGACCAGAAAGAGGCTCTCCCGGATTCTAACTGACCGCTTGACATCATGAATCCGACTCCTCAGTGCTTCCTGGGGAGACCGGGTGTAAGGAACTGTAAAGAGAAACCCATTCGTTATGTCTTTACAACCTTTTGAAGAACAATAGAAAGTCTCAATTTTACATACATACACACACACACACACACACACACACCCATACAGTTGCTTAGATTTGTGGGTTACTATGTAGCTCTGTCCGTTTGGAAGAGCTTGTGACTGGGATCAAGGAAAAGTAAGTCGCCTATTAAAAAATCTCCCTTTCTCCACTGGGAGAAAGTGGTCCGCTTATTCACCCATCAGAACAGGTCAAATGTGACTCTAATTTACATGAGAATCTTTGGGCCTCCTGGGAGAAATCTGATAGAGGACTTTGGGATGGGTATCATTCCTTTGGGACATCAACACTCAAACAAAGAGAAAGAGACAAAGCTGTCTTCAGCCTGGGGAAGTTGCCCTCACCATGAGTTCCTGGCCCTGAGACAGAAGAAAGCAGGGACCCCTGGAACCATCTGAAGACACTGGGCATGGGAGCTGTACAGTCTGCAGTGTGAGCGAGGACCCTCCAGCATCCTCCTACCCAACATCCTTGTTACAGGGATAGTGGGAAAAAGCAGGGTGAGGCCAGCTGAAAGGAACTCACCCCAAGAGCCAGAGAGGTAAGGAGAGAGTCTGCAGGGGAGAGAGAGGAGGCGCAGAATGGTCCGATGGTTTGACGGTTAGAGTCAGGTTATGAATCATCACAATGACTGAGCCATACCTTATATTAAACTTCACAGTCCAGAGTGGAGAAAGCAAAATGGTGATTTATTTTTTTCCCTGAAAGACAGACCATGACAGTGAAGATAATTTTACCATAAGCACTCCCATTTTTGTTTATGGTTTCTTCTTTCATCCTTTTATGGTTTCTTCTTCATCCTTTTCCCCCATCCTGCTCCAGCTTGGGAGTGAACAGAAAATTAGAGTAGAAAGGAATAGAGTACAGGGCCGAGGGGAAACATTTCAGGGAAAAGCCATTCCAAAACATTAAGACGCATCACAAATGCAAACAGCAAGTGGATTTTGCTGGAAGACATGTGTGGGCTTTTCTTTGTCGGCACCAGGAAGTATTTGTCATTTTGTTGAGGCTTTTTTTTTTTTTGCTAGGTGGTGAGGTTCTCTGGAGGATGGTACTCAAAACAAGGGAAAAAAATGAAGAGAAACACAGGAAGGATCATTTAAGAACTTAACATCATCATCATCATCATCATCATGATCATCATCATCATCATCATCATTTCCTTTCTTAGGTGCCTTCAAAGCAGTCCAGCCCTTTGCCCAAAGCTTACTGGGTGGAATTCTTTTTCTTTCTTTCTTTTCTTTCTTTTCTTTTCCTTCCTTCCTTCCTTCCTTCCTTTTTCTTTCTTTTCTTTCTTTCTTTCTTTCTTTCTTTCTTTCTTTCTTTCTTTCTTTCTTTCTTTCTTTCTTTCTTTCTTTCTTTCTCTTTTTTTCTTTCTTTCTCTCTCTCTCTCTCTCTTTCTTTTTCTTTCTCTCTGTCTCTCTTCCCTTCCCCTCCCCTCCCTTCCCCTCCCCTCTCCTTTCCATTCCTTCCCTTCCCTTGCCTCTTTCTTTTCCTTCTTTCTTTCTTTTTTTTTTTTCCCAGAGTCTTGCTGTGTCACCCAGACTGGAGTGCAGTGGCGTGATCTCAGGGCTCACTGCAGCCTCCGCCTGCCAGGCTCAAGCTGTTCTTCTGCTTCTGCTTCCCCTGTAGCTGGGATCACAGGTGTGCACCAAAAACCTGAGTTAATTTTTTTTGTACTTTTTTATTTTTAATTTTTTTTTTAAATAGAGACAGGATTTCACCATGTTTGCCAGGCTGGTCTCAAATTCCTGACCTCAAGTGATCTGCCCACCTCGGCCTCCCGAAGTGCTGGGATTACAAGCATGAGCCACCATGCCCAGCACTGGGTGGAATTTTCTATCCTAGGTGAGCCGCCAAGGAGCTTCCCTTTGAGCCGCTGTGTGGCTGCTGCTAAGGGACTTCTCATGTGTCACAGCATTTCTGCTTAAGGAGGCTGCTAGCTTTACCTTAAACTTAATGTGGGTCCTTAGAGGGATAATGCTTCATCACTATGGTTTGGAAACAATGCCTGGACTGAGACCACCTCCCGTCTGCAGACCGTTTGGCCAGCTCCTGACCTCACCCCAGGCTGAAATGTCTGCCTCCCTGCTCATGTCCATTCCCACATGGGATTAGCCTCCAAGGTGGACTTGAGAAGCTGTGCTGCCGGTGAGAACCCCTAAATGTCCAACCCAAGTTCCTCTTTATGAGATGAACGAAAAAAGCTCAGAGCCACTAGTCTTTTTTTTTTTTTTTTTTTTGAGACGGAGTCTCGCTCTGTCCCCCAGGCTGGAGTCCAGTGTCCGGATCTCAGCTCACTGCAAGCTCCGCCTCCCGGGTTCACGCCATTCTCCTGCCTCAGCGTCCCGAGTAGCTGGGACTACAGGCGCCGCCACCTCGCCCGGCTAGTTTTTTGTATTTTTTAGTAGAGACGGGGTTTCACCGTGTTAGCCAGGATGGTCTCGATCTCCTGACCTTGTGATCCGCCCATCTCGGCCTCCCAAAGTGCTGGGATTACAGGCTTGAGCCACCGTGCCTGGCCGAGAGCCACTAGTCTTAAAGTTCCCTGCTGTCCACTCTCTTCCTGTATCTGAGGCCTGTCCTTGCCCTCCATGGGCCTCATGGAAGCTGAGACCACACTGTGAAGTGCACAGGTGCCAGGAGAGAAATATGTGGATGCTCCTTGCAGAAAGCCTGGCCCTAGGTGCAATGCTGCTGGCATGTTCCCGTGCCCCCCTTGCCTGGGAAGATGAGGCTCGAGGCTAGGACGAGCAGCATGAGGGCTACAGGTCTGAGAATACCAGGCCCCGAGCTAAATTGAAGTTCTTGTGTTTTCTTTAGCATATTTTGATTCCTGATTTCCCCAAACATCAGCTTTCACTGTGAGTTAATAGCTGTTCTGGATATATGCTTATTAAAAGGATACATTTATTTCTAATTAGTAATATGCGAGCGAAAAGCCCGCTGCAACTCATAATTTTCCACATTAACCCTGGTGCACAGTCAAGGCTGCTAGGGGAAAAAGCCCATCCCAGGAGGAGCTACAACCCCACGTAGCCTCCAGAGTAAAGGAGCAGCTCAAAGGGGAGGAGTTCTGGGTTCATAGGACATTACCTCTGCCTACCTCCCATGGGTGTGTACCTGGATTCTAGGCAAGGGGAGTGCCACAGAAGACCAAATAAAAGCAAAATGAGCTTTTGCCTGTAGTGCTGGTAGGCACCAAGGGGACACAGGCCATGCGGCAGCTGACAGCACTGGTATTTGGGCAGTTTCCACGTCTCCCCCCAGGCTTCTAGTTGTTTAATCTTTGGCGTCCATTAGTTTCGAGACATATTTTTCCAATCTCTGCCTCCGTCCGAGGCAGAGATGTTATGTTCCTCTCTGCGTGCCTGTCTGTGTCTCTTCTCCTCTTCTTAGAGTGACACTAGTCACACTGATTAAAGGCCCAGGCTACTCCAGTATGACCTCATCTTAACTTACACCTTGGTTACATTTGCAAAGACCCCATTTCCAAAGAAGGTCACATTCACAGAGACCTGGGGTTAGGACTGCAGCAGATCTTTTGGAAGACACAGTTCAACCCACCACAAACATGGTCAGCAATGGTGACAATCCGCCTCTCCTTCAGTCCTTCAATGCAGCCACCAGGACCCTTGGCACAGACAAGACTATCCTTGGGCTCAGTCATCAGTGGGTTCAAACTGGGCATGAGCTTCTTCAGCAAGTGTAGGCCTTCAGCAGAGTTTGGGGTCACTGATGGCACTTCTGG